AAATGAACTAAGCAGAAACTTCTTAAAAGAAGCATAAATGGTCAGTATTGTGAAAAGTTCAGCATCTTGCCATGCTGGTGGTATTTTATGTACTCTGGAGCCAGAGGTAGGAAGATCTCTGTGAGTTTGAGACAAGCCTGGTCTATATAGTGAGTTCCGGGTCTACATATAGAGACCCTGTCTTCACAAAACAAAATGGAAAAAAAAAAGTTCAACATCTTTAGCTATCAGGGAAAAGGAAATTAAAATTCCATCGAGATTCCATCTTTCTGAAGTACAAATTGCTGTCACCAAATGGTAGGGGTACGGGAATGAGGGATGCTTTATAAAGTATTGCTGGGAATGTAATAGAAATCAGTAGAAAGTTTACACAAAAAACAAAAACTAACAACCCAGCTCTGCTACTCCCAGCTGTGTGCCTAAAGGAGCCACCATTTCACAAGACACTTGCACAGTCATATTCATTGCAACACCATGCACAGTAAATCATTGGAGAATCTGCTTAGGTGATTGTCAGCAGGAGCGGAGAAAGAAAATGTGAGGAAACAGTAAAGAGAAGCCAGATGTAACGAGCGCATTGATGCTGGAGAGCCTGATGCAGGTTTGAAGCATTCTGCCAGCTGAGCTATACCCCCAGCTCTGAATAGCTCTTTAAAAATGTTCATTTAAAAATTGTCATCAAATAGACATAAACTAAAATTTATCATTTTAATCATCCAGAGACTCTAGGAGGAAAGCCTGATTCAGATTTTCCTATACTCTCAGTTAACAATCAGAATAGAAAACTTGTGACCAGGTAGGTAGGTGTCTTCTAATCAATTCTATCTTCACACAGTGTGTACTTGGACTTAGCATTACCTTGTTTCTGTGACCTCAGTTCCAATAGACTGCCCCCTCCACTTCTCATGCTAATTACAAAGTCCAGGTGGTTTTACTTGTTTTTCTTTTCTTTCCTTTCCTTTTCTTTTCTTTTCTTTTCTTTTTTTTTTTTTTGGTCTCCCCCTACATGGGGGTGGGGGAGATAGGCGGGATAGCCACACAGCACTCTACTGTGAACACCTAGAAGTACTTACTGTGCTTTTGATTGACAGACTAGAAACAGGTTCCCCCAAGTTCCTCTTCGTTTTGATTAATGTGCTAGGGCAATACTTTACTTACCTTGTTATTATAATAGTTGCTACAGAGGATATTGATTAAACACCAAAGGAAGAGGTGGATAGGGCTGGGGATGGGGGCAGGGACAGAGACTCATACCCTCTGCAGGGGTATCAATCTCAAGAAACTACTATGTGTTCAGCTAAACAGAACCCCTTCGAATCTAGTCCTTTTCAGCATGTTTATGAACACAATTCATTACAACCATGGTCCATAAACATGAACCTTTTGCCAGTCTCTGGAGAAGTTGGGGGTGGGGCCCAAGTCCCAGCTTTCTAATTCCATTTGGCATCTGGTCACCCAGCCCCCAGCTCTGAAGCTACCTAGAGGCGGTCAGTCAACAGGCAATCATTAGCATGTAAAAAGATAATCATTTTGAATATTCCAAGCATTTTAGGAATTGCATTCCAGGAAACAGAAGCAAAGATCAAAAATGTATTTTACAAAAATCACAACCATTTTAAAGCATAGAGTTGAGCTAAAGGCATCAAATAAGTTCACATTGCTAAAGCAACCAGCACCATTGCTCTTCTCTGCAACTCTGGAACTCTTGTGGTATTTTGTTTGTATGTTTTGAAACAAGATCCCCTGTAGTATAGGCTGACCTCTACCTAGCTCTGCAACTGAGGCTGATCTGGATGTGCTTCTGATCCTCCTGCCTCTACCTTCTGGGTATTGGGATCACACTGCACTGCCTTTCCCAACCCTTTGTGTGGCGCTAGGGATAGAAGAGTTCAAGGGTGCTAGGCAAGCACTCTTATCAACTGAGCTATGTCCCAAGACACTGGAAACTTCGTTTAAAACTTTTTTGTGCTGTTGGAGATGGAATCCAGGGCCTCAAGAATGCTGAGCAACTCTACCTCTGAGTTACATCCCCAAACCTTTCCTTTGTCTACTTCAAGTTCGAACCTTACTTAGCTACTGATGAACACTTGACCTCCTTCTATTTGTAAGCTGATTTATATGCTGATTTGAATAGTAAAGTACATATTTGGGCAGTAATTCATACATTTTTATTGACTTTTTTTCCTTAAAATATTCAGCTGGAGATTTGGAGGTATAAGTCAGTGGTAGGGTGCTTATCTTACATACTTGAGACCCTGAATTTGGATCTCCCAATATGAAAAATATTCAACTGGAGTTTGAGGTTGTATTACAATTCTATGGCAGTGCTGAGGGCTTGCCTAGTAAATGTGAGGCCCTAGGTTGGACCCCCCCTAGCACCACAAATAATGTGTATCAGTTTGGAAAGAATGTATATTGTCACCGGGCAGTGGTGGCACACGCCTTTAATCCCAGCACTCAGGAGGCAGAGGCAGGTGGACCTCTGTGAGTTCTAGGCCAGTCTGGTTTATAGAGTTACTTCCAGGGCAGGCTCCAAAGCTACAGAGAAACCCTGTCTCGAAAAAGAAAAAAAAAGAATATTTTGTTTCTAAGCAGCATTTTGCTCTAGGCCAGGTTGGCCTGGAGTTCTGTAACCCTAGCTGGTCATCATCTCAAGGCGCGCTCTCTGCCTCATGTCCTCAAGCTCTGGGCTTACAAGGATCAGCCACTATTACAGGCTGAAAATGTAAAAGTGGGGATGCAACTTAGTAATAAGAGTGATTGTCTAGTATCAAGGCACTGAGTGTTGTAATCTGCTGGCCTACTCTGACACCTGGATACCCTGTCCCTTTAAGAGACAAGCTCCCAATCCCCCCCTCCCCTTTCCACCAAGACAAGCAGATCTTCCACCTCTTCTCAAGCCTGCTCTCTTGCTCTCTCTCTCTGTGTCCTTCCTTCCTTCTGGAGAGGCAACTTCTGTTTCTCTCTCCCTTCTCCTCCCCTTCTCCCCTTCCCCCCTTCCATCTCCCCCTCCATAACCCACTAAATAAACTCTATATCCCAGCTCTCTCTGCATGGCGTATCTGTCTGTCTCTCACTCTCCATGGTCTCCCACCCGCAAAAGGTGGCCTGCCCCTGCCACCCCTACCCCTTGTGGGACTGCTGCCCCTCATGGGGCTGGTCTCAGGTCCTACCTCTTTATAAATGATAACACTGAGTCTGAATCCCAGCATCACACACACACACACACACACACACAGTAATAATATGATGGCCTAGTACAGTGTGGTGTGAACTTGCAGTTCTAACTACTTAGGCTAGGAAGGAACAGTACTTGATTTTGGTAATTTAGGACCAGCCTGAATAGAATAGCAAGAACACTTCTTTTTTTGTTTGTTTGTTTGTTTTTGGTTTTGGTTTTGGTTTTTAGTTTTTCGAGACAGGGTTTCTCTGTAGGTTTGGAGCCTGTCCTGGTACTCACTCTATAGATCAGGCTGGTCTCAAACTCACAGAAATCCACCTGCCTCTGCCTCCTGAGTGCTGGGATTAAAGGTGTGCGCTACCACCGCCCAGCAAGAACACTTCATTTTTAAGATGTTTAAGAACTATTTTATCTGGTTCAATTCCCAACACTCACATGGTTGCTCACAACTTCTGTCACTCCAGCTCCAGGGAATCTGACATCTCCTGACCTTTGCAAGCAGCAGACATATACACATGAACACTCATAATTGTGTGTGTGAGAGAGAGAGAGAGAAAAATAAAAGAGAGAGAGGGGGAAGGAGGGGGAGGGAGAGAGAGGTGTATCTACAAAGGCAAAAATAGCATGTTTTGAATCCCTTGGAGCTGGAGTTACAGGCAGATGTGAGGTGCCCAACAAGGGTAGTAGGAACTGAGATTAGATCCTCCTCAAGAACAGTGCATGTTCTTAGTCAACCACTAAAGTATCACTCCAGTCCCTTTGAAAGGATTTTTAAAGCATGTAATAATTGTTAAAAGTGAGGGTTTTCTTCTGACATTCCCTCACATGCCTGAATGAACTTCATTCATATTTACCTCATTTCTCTTCAGCCTTGTGTCTTCTTTTCTCCTTCCACATGCACAGTTGAATTGTTTTTTGTTGCAAGAACCGTTTCAAAACAGTTTTCATAATATGTAATTGTTTCATAAAAGTTTTATGAAATGTGTCTTCATGTATTCAAATCATCTTTTTACTATTATTATTTTGGTTTTTTCAAGATAGGATTTCTCTGTGTAACAGCTCTGGCTGTCTTGGAACTCACTCTGTAGAGCAGGCTGGCCTCGAACTCACAGAGATTGACCTGTCTCTGCCACCAAAGTGCTGGGATTAAAGGTGTGCGCAGCCGCCTCCACCACCACCTAGTTTACACTAGTTTTATGTTAATACAGCCTTCAAATTGTAGTCAGGGTTTAGATAGACGCTTTGGATCCCATCCCCAGCACTACAAAACAAACAAGTCCATAGTAAATAGGCAGGGTTTTTTTGTTTTTCGTTTTTGTTTGTTTGTTGGTTGGTTTGTTTGTTTTGGTCAGGAGTGAGGGTTTAGGGATGGGATGGGGAAATGGGACTCAGTAGAGGAGCATTTGCTTAATATGTGCAAGGCCTTGGGCCCCATTCCCATCCCTCCAGGGGAGTCAGGGAGAAAGAAGTCAAGGCTTGAATTAGTGTGTCTCCTACTCCCCCCCCACCCCCCAGACAGGGTTTCTCTGTAGCTTTGGAGTCTGTTCTGGAACTCACTCTGTAGACCAGGCTGGCCTCGAACTCACAGAGATCTGCCTGCCTGCCTCTGCCTCCCGAGTGCTGGGATTAAAGGCGTGTGTCACCACTGCCCAGTGTGTGTTTCGTTCTTAAGATTCTCTCAAGGTGTCGTCACAATGTCATCTGAGGCCTGATCAGGGAAGCAGTCACTTCAAAAGCCTTTACAATTATAAAACAGAGAGAGAGAGAGAGAGAGAGAGCCGCTGCAAGCAGGAGGACAAGGGGCCGGGCGGGATGGGCACCTGCGTGGCTGGACCTTGAGTCGTGCCCAGCCTGCGCTGCCCCCACCCGGCCCCGCCCCCCTCCCCGGAAGGGCCTGGCTTTTCCCGATCCTGTCCCCTCATTCCTGGTCTCCTCCAGGTCTGACCGATTCCCCGGGCCTCCTTGCCGCTCCAAGCTTCTAAAACGGAGGGATTTCCTACAATTCTACTCAGTCACTTTGGACGTATTCTGCCTCTTCGCTTCCTAACAGCCTGCTTCCTAACAGCCCGCCTTCCAAACCGGGACTCCCTTCCCTCTCCTAAGAGTCTTCCCTCCAACCCACTTCAGACCTTGTTCTCCCCCTGGGTTAGGCATTCACATCCCCTCCAAATTAACCCCCGCCAACTCTCCAAATACTTGACACCGCCTTCACTGAGGAGCCAGCCTTGATTTTGTACTGAACACCACAGCCCTATCATGGAGGCTATGCTCCCCGTGGTAAACTGGACGGGCCAAGTGCTGGACTGGATGGGCCCAGTGCTGGAATGGTTGACTTTCGTGTTGGACCTCAACTTCCTGCTTGTGTCCTTCCTCCTGACAAACTTGGCCTGGCTTTTGGGCTTCATCTACAACCTGCCATACACGGTCCTGACTTATTTTCTCCACTTTGGGCGAGTCCTGCTCTCGTTGCTGGCCTTGGTTGAAGCACTGGTCGAATTTACCTTTGTGGGTTTGCAGCCCATGTGTGCTTTTCTCTACAGCTGCTACTCCAGCTTGGAGAGCTTGAAGCTACTAGGGCACCTGGCTTCTCATGCAGCACTGAGGAGCCGAGAAATACTCAACAGGGGCATCCTGAGCGTGGTCTCCAATGGCCATGCTTGGCTGCACCAGGCCTGTGACATCTGTGGCATTGCCATGAGCCTGGTGGCCTATGTGATCAACAGTCTGGTCAACATCTGCCTCATCGGCACTCAGAACCTCTTCTCCCTGGTGCTGGCCCTGTGGGCTGCCGTGGCAGGGCCTCTGTGGCGGATGACAGACGTGCTGGCTGCTTTCCTTGCTCACCTTTCTAGCAGTGCGGTGGCCATGGCCAACCTCCTCTGGACCCCCTGCCAGCTAGGGCTAGAGCTGTTGGTCTCAGTGGTCCTCCTGGCCGGCTCTATGCTTTCCAACCTTACTATTTTCGTGTTGCTGGTTTGTGTGCTGGCAGTGACTTTGACTGTGTTATACTCAGACTTTACCTTGAGGCTGGCCGCCCGAGCACTCAATCAGCTCCATGTCCGACTATCCTACCACCGGCTCCGAGAGGATGTTGTTCGGCTCTCTCGCCTGGCACTGGGTCTGGAGGTCTGGCGCCAAGTCTGGAGACTAAGCTTGCAGCTGGCCAGCTGGCCGAATCGGGGAGAAGTGCCGGGGGCCCCCCAAGGTAGTGCCAGGAGGGTGTCTTCAGCCAGAATCCAGGGACAGGACAATCTTCGTGAAGGAGAAGAGGCTATCAGGACCAACAGGACGGCACCCGCTAGAGGCCGAGAGAGACTCAATGAGGATGAACCGACAGCATGGCAAGACCCTTGGAGACTGCTGGAGGAGCACGAGGAGAGGAAGAGATGTGTCATCTGCCAGGACCAGAGCAAGACCGTACTGCTTCTGCCCTGTCGGCACTTGTGCCTGTGCCAGGCCTGCACCGAGATCCTCATGCACCAACCTATCTACTTCCGTAACTGCCCACTCTGCCGCCGCCGCATTCTGCAAACCCTCAATGTCTACCTCTGATGACTCCCTCCGTGCCCGCCCACCCTCTGCCCTCCACATACTGAGACCGCATCAGCATTTTGTCTCTGGGTTTTGGCTAAACCGGAATTTGCTACCATTTACCCTGAGTTTCAGGGTGAACTTCAGGAGGAATATCCAGATTTCTGCTCATTCCCTCACACCTCACATGGCACTGAACAAGGCATCCTCCTGGTCTCTCTGTGGCATTCTGCATTTCCCTAGGGTTCAAACAAGGGGCTAGGCCTTGGGGCATGCAGCACCATTAGGTCTGCCTGCCCAGTTTCTATGAATAAACACCTGTTAATAGTTCTAAAAAAATAAATAAAACATATAGAAGAATGAAGGGCTTCAGTTTCCTATTGAATGTTCAATGAAGAGTACTCCTTAGCTCCTATAGTCTAGCCAACCAGCCTCTAGCTTTTGCCACTTAAAATGCCCCAAGTTGCCAGGCGTAGTGTACCCACCTTTAATCCCAGCACTTGGGAGGCAGAGGCAGATGGATCTCTCTGTGAGTTTGAAGCCAGCCAGGCTACACAGAGAAACCCTGTCTGGGAGGCAAAGTGGGGTATATGCCTCAGGTGGCTGCTTGCTTTAACAAAAGCAGCAGAGTAATTAAGAGTCTCCTCAGTAGATGGTTGTTTCATCTTTAATGTACAAATATGTTACATATAAGCTGTCAGACACTTGATAGGAGTAGGTTATATAATAAAAGATGTGAACATCAAGACATGGGAGAAATAGAAGCCATCACAAGTGTGTGCACATTATATTGGTGTTTAATCTTCAGGTCTAGAAAGAAATGTACTTTTTTGTGTGTGATTTGAGGCAGAGTCTCACTATGCAGCCCTGGCTGGCCTTGCACTTACTGTGTAGCCCCAACTGGCCTTAGACTTGCAACCATCCTCCTGCCCCAGGCTTCCATGAAAGCACTCAGGAAAAGATTTCCAATGTGATATTATCTGTGACCCTGGGGATATATAGACATAACCAATAGATTAGATACATCCTAGGCCACACAGATGTATCTTCTTTCCCCTGTTTTTTTGGCAGGGTCTTGTATATAGCCCAGGTTAGGCTGAAACTCACTATCCTCCAGCCTCAGCTTTCCAAGTTCTAGAATTATAGGAGTGATCCAGTGGAGTTGGCTCTTTACTTTTATTTATTTTTTATAATTTATTTTTATTTTATATATATTGTTGTACTACCTGCATATATATCTGTATAAGGGTGTTGGATCCCCTGGAACAAGTTTACAGACTGACTGGTGTCAGCTGCCATGTGGGTGCTGGGAATTGAACCCAGGTCCTCTGGAAGAGCAGCTAGTGCTCTTAATCCATTGAGTCATCTCCATTCCTGTTTTACTTTTATTATTTATTTTAATTTTTTTTTGGAGATAGGGTCTCAGTGTATAGCTTTGACTAACCTGAAACTTTCTATGTAGACCAGGCTGACTTTGAACTCATAGAGCACTTCCTTCTATTGTCTCCCAATTGCTGGGTTAAAAGGGGCTCACCACCATGCCTGGCTTTCCTTCACTTTTAATGTATGTCATGTCACCATACTTTGTTGTAATTCTATTTTAATTTTTTCTTTAGTTTCAATTATAAATGAAAGAAAAAAAGAAATTCTGGAACAATATCTGGACATAAATCTTTGCATTTATAGAAAACAAGTAAATACAGACAGTAAATTAAAAAAGAAATTGTGAGAGATTAAATGAGAGACTTAGAAACTAGAGGAGACAGATGGGGAAAGAAAGCTGCAGAGAGCTGAAGCCACACGAGGACAAAATAAACACAGCCATGGAGAGGCGAAGGTACTACAAAGAACTGAGAGAATGCAAAGGAGCATTTACTGAGCTCCCACCTAATATCACTCCTGTAGAACTTGGTGTCTTTTTGAGGTTGCAGTTGCTGGTAATAGCTTTATTTGGGCACAAGGCTAGTTCATAGCAGTATGAACTGAGCTGTCCATCACCATGTCCCCTGGACTGAACTCATTTTTCTGGGAACATCGTGTTCCACGGCATGCATCCAGTAATTGTTTATCCATCTAACAGTGTATAAAGTCTGTTGTTTCCCCAAGGACATAAACCAGACCTTTATTTCAGCCCACTGAGTCAATTTTCCTTGTCTGTCTGGTAATTCAACAGCAAGGTCTATTGCCTTAGCAACTGCCCTTCGACTACCATGGCAACCGCCAGTGCAGACTTCAGTTCTCCACTTTGCCCCTTGGACATCTCCATGGCGATGTGCAGGATGAAGAGAAGGCCAGAGCCCCAATTCTGCGCCTGCGTAGAGTGACAGGAGGGGGTAAATAGGAGGGGGCCCAGGCTCCTGGATGTGCGCAGCCGCAGAGCACCACGGCTGTGCCCACTAGTCCCAGCCCTGCGCACTTGACAGCCAGTCCGCCTGTCCGGAGCCCGGCTCGTTGGGGCAGCATGGCAGGGTCGCCGCTGCTCTGCGGGCCGAGGGCCGGGGGCGTCGGCCTTTTGGTGCTGCTGCTCTTGGGTCTTCTGCGACTTCCCCCAGCCCTGTCAGCGAGACCCGTAAAGGTGCGATTCCACTTAGCAAGGGGTGGGGGTGGGGAGGAAGATGGGGGAAAGTGTTATTGAGGCATTCTTGCTGGTTTGTGCATAGAGATTGGCAAGGGTGCCCTGGGCTGCAGCTGACAGTCCCCCCACATAAGCCAAGCGCAGTTTCTGGGTGTGAGGGTGCTGATGCTCAGGGCTCGGCTAGTAGAGGCATCCTGCGCATCCCTCAGCATCTGGGGCCCGGTCTGACCTCGACCCGCCCCGCGAATGACCTGTGGCTGTGTCTATTGTAGTAGGGCATATTCAGAAAAGATGTCCGTGTATCAGTATGTGAGCCTGTGATGTGATGACCGAGGTGTCAGTACTGTGTTCTTTTAATATGTCTTTTGGTTTGACTGCCCCTAAACGTCCTGCAATACTGGAGACTCTTCTTTGACTTTTTTTGTGGGCCTGATTGCTTTCTCAGTGATACCATGTGTATATTTGTGAACCCTTATGTGTGATGACGTAGTATATGGGCGTATCTTCCTGTGTACTTATGTGTTTCTGTGTTTGTTTGTTTTTTTTTCATTTTGGAAGGAGTGGTCCTTCTACCTCAGGGTACATATTTCATGGTGTCTTGGGTAGACTGAGTGCTTGGGTTTTTCATTGTGCATCCATGAGATGATTTCCTTCTTGCTTCATTGTGGAGCTGTGTCATTGCAGGGAAAGAAGCCATGATGTCTCTGTTCTGCATTGTGTTTTTCAAATGATGCCTATCTTTGCACCTGGGTGGCTCAAAGAGCATTACAGCAGACATTTCCCCAACAAGGAATGTGCACATAGGCACGAAAAGACCACTTCTATGCAGTTCCTTGTAGTAGATATGGCAGTGTTGGGTTGCATTGTGACATTTCAAGGGCTCTGTGTGTGTGTGTGTGTAGGGGGATTGCTGGTGATTGATTTCCCCAGGGGCAGAGTGTTGGATCCTGACCAAGGGGAGGGACATGGAGCAGCTTGCTCCTCTACCTCTTAAAAGCTGTCTGAATCACTGAGGATTTTTTTAATTATTAAATATTTAGCATGGAACAATCTATTTAACATATATGTAAGTTATAAAAATGATAAAATAATCATCATGACCACTGTTCAGCTTAAGAAATAAAGTATGACTGATACTAGGAATCCTTTGCTAGCCCTACCTTCTATTTTCTGCCCATTGATTCCATTTAGTTGCCGCTTAGCTTTAAATAATGTATTGTTTAGTTTCTGCTTTTGGAACATCATAGAAATGGAGTCAAGTTAGGTATCTGCTTTCTGATGATCTCACTAAGAAGTCTCTGGTGTTGGATAGTCTTAGGCTATCTAAAGTGCGATTCTAGAATTTGCCTTTGTGTGTGTGTGTGTGTGTGTGTGTGTGTGTGTGTGCATGTGGTTTTGAATTGAGGCTTTTCTGCATGCTAGCCCCCAGAACCTTCTTTAGTTCTGCTTTGGTGGGAGATTCATTTCTATTTAAGTATGTGGTTGTAGTTCATTTAGTGATGCACCACATTATACCCTGTGAGTGTATCATGAGTCTACTAGTCTAGTGTCATGGTTTATTTCTGAGGAACTCTTTCCTTTATTCCCCCTACTTTTATGCTATTATAAAATACCACTATGATGGTTCAATAATTTATGTCCAGTAGGCTTTGAGTGCAACACCCTAGAAGTGGGTCATAAAATCTATTATTTTGAGACATGGATTTCCCTTTCAAAATGATCTTTGCGATTTATTTTGTTTTGTGAGACAGGGTTTCTCTGTGTAACCCTGGCTCTCCTGGAACTCACTTTGTAGACCAGGCTGGTCTCAAACTCAAAAAGATCTGCCTGCTGGGTTCAAAGGTGTGTGCATCATGCCCAACTTATTTTTGCAAATTTAATTTCCAGCAGCGAAATATTTTAGTTTTATTCAAAACCTGATATCGCCACCCCCCCCCAAAAAAAAAAAAAAAAAAAAAAAAAAAAAAAAAACCAAAAAACACCTGACATCCAGAAGACTCAGGGCAAGTTCTGAGTGATTAAAACGTCACACTGAGCTTGTGTGGATCCTAGACGTTTTTAGTGGTCTGAGTGCCCTTGGAAATATTTGGGGATCTGCAGGGGCCTTAGAGACGATAGGAATTTGAGTGGCTCGGTTAATGTGGTAGTCATTTAAAATCCGTGGAGCCCCACCCTTAGTTGGGCGTCTCTGGCTAGAGGGACGATGACAATATCCCCCCCCATTTCATCTTCTCGCAGGAGCCCCGCAGTCTGAGTGCAGCATCAGCGCCCTTGGCAGAGACAGGCACTCCCCGCCGCTTGCGTCGGGCCGTTCCCCGCGGAGAGGCGGCGGGTGCGGTGCAGGAGCTGGCGCGGGCGCTGGCGCACCTGCTGGAGGCCGAGAGACAGGAACGCGCTCGTGCCGAGGCACAGGAGGCGGAGGACCAGCAGGCGCGTGTCCTGGCGCAGCTGCTGCGTGTCTGGGGCTCCCCGCGTGCCTCGGACCCGCCCTTAGCCCCGGACGACGACCCGGACGCTCCTGCAGCACAGCTCGCACGTGCTCTGCTCCGCGCTCGCCTAGATCCCGCCGCCCTCGCGGCCCAGCTTGTCCCTGCGCCCGCCGCTGCGCTGCGCCCCCGGCCTCCAGTGTACGATGATGGCCCCACCGGCCCGGATGTCGAGGACACCGGCGACGAGACTCCTGATGTGGACCCGGAGCTGCTGAGGTGCCGGGGTCAGGGAGAGGGAGGGCGAGA